ATTACCACGTTATAGTATTCTGTGTGCTATTACCAGTGAGTTTTGTACCTTCAGATGATTTCTTATTTCACTAACATTTTTTTTTCTTTCAGATTAAGAACTCCCTTTAGCGCTTCTTAAAGGACAGGTCTGGTGTTAATGAAATTCCTCAGTTTTTGTTTGTCTGGAAAAGTTCTTATTGCTCCTTCAAGTTTAAAGGACGTTTTTGACAGATACATTATTCTAAAGTAAAAGTTTTTTTTTTTTTTTTTCAGCTCTTTAAATATGTCATGCCACTCTCTCAGCCGGCTTTCAGATGCATTGGAGTTCCACTGAATGTTATGTGTTTTTGTTCTCTCACTGTTTTTAGAATCATTTCTTTATCTTTAACCTTTGAGAGTTAAGTTCCTTGAGGTGGTCTTCTTTGGGTTAAATCTGATGGTGTTCTGTAACCTTTTTGTACTCAAATGCTGATATCGAAGGTTGAGGAATTGTTTAATATTATTTAATGAAATAAATGTTTAACGCTTATCTCTTTCTCTACCTTTTCTTTAAGGCCAATAACTCTTAGATTTGCTATGTTGAGGCTGTTTTTCAGATTCTGCAGGCATGCTTTATTTTTTATCCTTTTTTCTCCTCTGACTTTGTATTTTCAAATAGTCTGACTTCAAGTTTACTAAATCTATTTTCTCCTTGATCAATTCTTTTAAGTAATTCTGATACATTCTTCAGTATGGCAATTGCGTTTTAACTTCAGAATTTCTGCTGTTATTCTTTATATTTCAATATCATTGTTAAATTTATCTGATAGAATTTTGAATTCCTTCTCTGTGTTATGTTGCATTTCTTTGAATTACCTCAAGCAACTATTTTCAATTGCCTGTATGAAAGGTCACATATCTCTTTTATTCCAGGATTTGTCCCTGGTGCCTTATTTAGCATGTTTGGTGAGGTCTTGTGCTCCGAAATGGTGATATTTGTAGATGTTCATCTGGATCTGGGCATTCAACAGTTCAGTCTTTATTGTAGTCTTCACAGACTGGGCTTGTTTGTGCCCGTTATTTTTGGAAAAACTTTCCAGGTAGTCAAAGAGTCTTGGGCTCCAAACCCAGTAACACAGTCGTTTATACAAACAAATAGAGGTATTGCCTTGGTGGTCTTGGATTAACATCAAGAAAGCTTATCTTGATTTATCAAGTAGAGACTCTTGTCCTTTTTCCTTACTTTCTCTCAAACCAGCAGAGTCTGTCTTTCTGTGCTGAGGCATGTGGAGCTGGGATTGGGGTAACATAAGCACCTCTGCAACCACCACCACTGGTACTGTGCAGGTTCATACCTGAAGTAGACACAGAACTTGGCCTCACCCAAAGCCCACTGTAATCAGTACTTGGCCACCATATAAATTTACTCAAAGTCCTAGGACTCTATGATTAATAAGTGGCAAAAACAGCCAGGTTTGTGTCTCTACCTCCAGGGTGGCAAGTTATTGTAGCCATGAGTGGGTCCATAGATGCTATCTGGGAGCCAGAGACTGAAGTATAAAATCTTTAATATTTACCTGCTCTTCTATTTTACTGTATCTAACCTGGCACTTAGGCCATAAGACAAAGAATTTTCTACTTTTCCTTCCCTCATCTGCAGGCAGAGGATCCTTTTCTATGGCTGCCAAAACCTCTGGCCCATGGAGGGGGTTCTGCCAGGTCATCATCAATTTCTCACTTAAAGCCCAAGGACTCTTTAGTAAGCTTGTGATACATTCTGCAATGTCTGGGACTCGACCTTTGGTGCAGGGAAAGTGTAGAAATGCTGACCAAGACCCTAGGCCTGGACTCAGAAACTCTAAGATTCTGCTTGGTGCTCTACTTCACTGTGGCTGAGCTGCTATATGAGGTGCAACACAGAATTTTCTTTACTTTACTCCTGCTTTTCTCAAACAGAAGAAGCATTTCACCACAGCTACCATAGCTGGAAATGTGCTGGGTCATACCTAAAGTTAGCACTTCTCAGAGCCTGATGCCTGGGTGAGAGAACAAGACTTCATTTCAAAAACAACAACAACAACAACAACAAAAACCCCAAAGAACAAAAAGCAGACATTATTTTATGTACCATTACAAATATACTGCTGGCCAGGCATGGTGGCTCACACCAGTAATCCCAGCAGTTTGGGAGGCCGAGGCAGGCAGATCATCTGAGGCCAGGAGTTCAAGACCAGCCTGGCCAATATGGTGAAACTCCACCTCTACTAAAAATAGAAAACTTAGCCAAGCATGGTGGGACACACTTGAATCCCAGCTGTTAGGGAGGTTGAGCCAGGAGAATGCTTGAACCTGGGAGGCAGAGGTTCCAATGAGCCAAGATTGCACCATTGCACTCCAGCCTGAGTGAAAGAGCAAAACTCTATCTCAAAAAAAAACAACAAAAAATACATACTGCCAATTTAAACTGTGATTTTTTTCAGAAATAAATGTTATTGATGACTTTACTTCCATTAACACCACTGTAGGAGCCAAGGGAAAGCTTCCCTTTTGCCCTCTGAAGGGTCATTGAAAAGTCAACTGACAAAAGGCAAATTAATTGGACAAAGGGCATACAAATTTATTAACATGCACATGGGGGAGAACCAGAGTGATTATACTCAAGCCCCAAATGGAGTTCAGAAGCTTATATATCATCTTGAGGTTATAGAATGGGGGTTTGGATTGTTATGGGAGTGGAGAAGAGGATACCTGACTGACAACCATGGTCTTGTTATGTAACTGAAAGCTCACAGGTAGAAGTCCTTATAGAGAATAGATGGTACATGTTTCTTTCAGATCTTTGCAAACCAACAATAAAATTCTAATCCCTCCAACCCACTGATGGACCCTGCGCTTGCCCAAAGGCATTCCAAAGTTAACCTGAAAAACTAGTTCAGGCCATAATGGGAAGTGATGGTTGGGCATGCCTCATTATACACTCCTCCCTTGAAATTCAGGCACAGCAAGCCAGCATTAAACAGAGATCTTAAGACTGACAGAACAGACTCTTGTGCAGAGACTTCTTCATTACCCTCAGGACACACAGGGTTCTCAGTTTCCACTGTAGAGTCCTCAATTTACCTGTTCAACCTTTCTCTTTTTTATTTCCCTGGCACTTTAACTTACTGTTTTTTTAAAAAATTATTTATTATACTTTAAGTTCTTGGGTACATGTGCAGAACGTGCAGGCCTGCTCCTTGAGTAGCATTTGGTCAGCGCACAAGTTTCCCACAGCCTGAAGTGGACACCAGCAGGAAAGGCTTGAGCCAGGGCTCTGCCTAGATGGCGGCCACCCGCAGGCCCCTGCAGGACATGCGCAGAGGTGAGGCGGGGCGCCGCCGTCACCGGCTGCGACTCTCCCAAAGGCCAACCCTGAGCACCCGGAGGCACCAGAAAAGCGGCCCGGAAGCAGAGGCGCCAGGGGCGGGGCCAACGCCGTGAGGTTTCGCCCCGTTCCCTCGCACGGGTCCTGCAGCCTTGTCAAACGTGTTCCCGCCTCCTGTCTTCCGGAAAGGTACCCTCCTTCCGGTCCGGCACCCGACTTCCGCCTTCTGGTCCGGCACCCGACTTCCGCCTCCTGGTCCGGCACCCGACTTCCGCCTCCTGGTCCGGCACCCGACTTCCGCCTCCTGGTCCGGCACCCGACTTCCGTCTTCTGGTCCGGCACCCGACTTCCGCCTTCTGGTCCGGCTGTGGGCTGCGCCGCACCCCAGCCCGCGCCTCGCATGGCTGCGTCCCGGGCCGGACCTGTGGAGCTGGGCTTCGCCGAGTTGGCGCCCGCGTGGCGACTGCGCAGCGAGCAGTTCCCCAGCAAGGTAGGCGGGCGGCCGGCGTGGCTGGGCGCGTCCGGGCTGCCGGGGCCCGGGGCCCTGGCCTGCGCGCTGTGTGGCCGCCCGCTGTCCTTCCTGCTGCAGGTGTATGCGCCGCTGCCCGGCCGCGCCGACGCCTTCCACCGCGGCATCTTCCTTTTCTGCTGCCGCGAGCCGCCATGCTGTTCCGGCCTGCGAGGTGCGTGGCCCATTGGGGTCGGGATGGGGCCACGCGTCGTTGAAATTGCGGTAGTGACTAGGGGTACATCGGAAAGCACCCCTGCCACCGCATTCTCGGAGCTTCCTCTCCGCACTGCCCCAGGAGCACCTTCTCCCGGGCCCTTCCAGGGTGTCCTCGCGCATTGGTAACCCCCAGCTTTGAATCGATGGGTACTAGGTATGATGCTATTCAGATAATAGGAATTGTCTTGGAAAGATGGGTCCCAGTAGCTTTTTCTTATTTTTGGCTGTCGGTCTTAATTATTGGTCTTATTAACCCGAACCAGCTACAGGAGGCAACTCTATTGCGTGTACCAGAAAAAAATCTAGTTTCTGGATTTTAAAAGCTTATTCCTGAAAGCAAAAACATTCATTTCTCTAAGAAAAAAATCTTTTATGTGTAGAGGTTCAAATATTTGAATTGCTGTTTTGACTGAAGATAAAACTTTCTCTGCATTCTTTTTTAGTTTTTAGGAATCAGCTACCCAGGAAAAATGATTTTTATTCATATGAGCCACCTTCTGAGAATCCTTCCCCAGAAACTGAATCACTGTGTCTCCAACTTAAGTCTGGTGCTCATCTATGCAGGGTTTGTGGCTGTTTAGGCCCCAAAACGTGCTCCAGATGCCACAAAGTGTATTACTGCAGCAAGGAGCATCAGACCCTAGACTGGAGACTGGGACATAAGCAGGCTTGTGCACAACCAGGTGAGTCATCTTTTTCTCAATTCAGTTTCATTGCCTTTGTCAACCCAGCTATTTCCAGGAAACTTTAAAGTTAAAATTATGAAAGGTATAGTACTTAAGAATTTTTCCTAACTGGAACACCTTTGTAAAAAAGAGGCTCTGATGTCTGAATCAGTGGATAATATCACCATATAGGCATTTATGACCTTTTCTCTAAAATGCCACAACTACATGTAATAATAGGGATAACTGTTACTATAGGGAATATGGTACTTTAGAGACAGCAAATTATTAGACTGTCTTCAAAACTAAATCATTACTAATAGTGCCGTCCTTTCTGTTTCAGATCATTTGGACCATATAATTCCAGACCACAACTTCCTTTTTCCAGAATTTGAAATTGTAATAGAAACAGAAGATGAAATATTGCCTGAGGTTGTGGAAAAGGAAGATTACTCAGAGCTTATAGGGAGCATGGGTAAGCAGTTTCAAGACTTCATAAGTGATTAAATGTAATGCTTGGAAGAAAGGGCTCAATGTGTCTATAAGAGAGGAACTGAGAGGAAGACTCTGGAGGCCGTAGCCTACAATTTTCAGATACTGCCTCAGGTGAAAATATACTTCCTGGACATTGTTTCCTGACATGTATCAGGTGTGTTCTGCTCCCTATAAAGACAAGGCGGGGGGGGGGCGGGTATCCAGATGGTCCCATGAGTAGTGCTGCGCAAGATGCTAGAGGCTTGGCAAGTTCCTCTGGCTCCCAGATCTGTTTCTCAGGTTAGGATAGTGTGAGTGCCTAGCACAGTGTCAGGCATGCAGAAGGGCCCCTTAAAAGTTTCTTTTTCACCTGGCCAGTTTTAGATACACAATTTTGTCAGTTTATCTACAGTGCAGTCTTGGATAGTGCTTATGCTGACCAACTACCTTAGAGGCTTAGTTTATTATAGTAGCCAACATTTATCCAGCACTTATCTTATATAAAGGGTTGTTTGTGTATGGGCTCATTAAAATCCTGACAGCACACCAGTAAGTCAGAAACTCTGCCCCATTTTGAAGGTGAGGAAATTGAGGTTCTCGGTATAACTTGCTTTGGTCACATACTGTTAAGTTTCACAATTTGAGCTTTGAGCCATACGCAAAACCACCACAAAACCATAGACTCAAAATGAAAACGTCACCTTACTGCTTTGTAGCTCATACCAGTCATACATTCCAAAACATGTTTGAGTCTTACTCTGTGCCTGACCTTGTGCTTGCTAATAGGGATATAATGGGAAGCAACACTCCAGTGGTCAGAAGCTCAGTCTCATGGAGGAGCCCAAATAATACTTAGGGAAGTTAAATTCCATGTAATGACTGGTAAGAGTACAATACAGGTGCCATGGGAACACATGTGACATCACTGAAGACTGCCTGGAAGGGGTCACTCGTGTGTGTTCATAGCTATATGATAAAAATGATAAATAATGAAAATGCTTACCTTTAGAAGGGAGAGCCTAGAGTAGGAGGATCAAGGATGAAAGCTAAACTTCAGATATGCCTTGTTTGTGTAAATGTGACTGTGGAACTGTGTATTTTAAGATTATAAAGTAAAATAAGTTTTAAAAAGCAGTCCCTAATCATCAAAAGTAAAAAAAAACTCTTTATGTAGTCATATAACACTAAGAACTCTTCTAGGCGACTTCAAAACATAAGACAGTACATCTCTAATGGAATATACCGTGAGAATAAAAAGAACATTAACACTGTTAGTATTTTCAGTAAACATGTTATTACTAGACTATTGCTGTTATTTTGAGACGGTTGTGTGTGTTTTGGGGGGGGATAAAGCAAATGAGTAATTATGAGAACCGAGGGGTTGGGCATGGGAGGAAGACTATGTTGATGGTGTCTACATACCATTTCTCTCTAAAAGGAACTCCAGGCGCTTTGGAGAGGTGGTTGGTTCCAGACCTGGGTCAAGAAATGTTCAAATAATGTGGGAACTTACAATATCAAAGATTAAGGAAGCTGGCAGTGATTACTAGGGCCATATCAGAAGAACTCGTGCAACATGAAAAGGTTCCTGCTGGCAAAAGATGGACGGTTTGAACATCCATAAGGACACTAACTGCATCAGATATGTTTAATGGGTTCAAAATGATACTTCATCTTTGTAGGATACTTGGGAACAGATTCATTATTTTCAGATTGGTAACTAAAAGGAAAGAGTTTGCCTTCTAGGGGTACATAATTATGAATGAAGTGACATGTGGGATTAAGAATAACTGAGTTGGAAGTGGGAGAGAAAGGACACAGTGGACTTGATAGTGTGAAACTGATTAATGGTATGTGGTGGTTCATTATAGTCTTTCCACTTTTGTATATGTTCAAAATTTTCCAAAATAAAAGGGGAATTAAAAGAAAAAGAAAAATGCTTCTTGGAGGTAGCTGTGTGTTACCTGAGACTTGAGTTTGAGTTCCCAGATGGAGGAGTTTGGCAGGAAGCAGCAGGGCCTGAGGGGAAAGCGTTTACAGTGTCCTAAAGGTTATACTGAAACTTTCCAGGCACACTTGATGAAACATGAATCTGAAGGCATCCTACACTTCATCAGATCTGACGGTGCAAGTGACCACCACCAGTGCCTTTCCAGTTTCATTAAAGCAGTTATTTTAGCTTCTATGACTTAGGATATCAGCTATATTTTAATGTACATTACAAGACTAATGGCTGTACTTGGAGACACAGGTCTGTTGGGGACAGCAGTGGCTCAGAGTGGCTATAATCCCAAGAAGGAATGTGGAGAAGGAAATGAACTTTTTTTTTGTTTGGGGGGGGGTGGGGGGAGACAGACTGTTGCTCTGTCGCCCAGGCTGGAGTACAATGGCTCAACTCGCCTCACTGCAATCTCTGCCTCCTGGATTCAGGTGATTCTCCTGCCTCAGCCTTTCAAGTAGCTGGGATTACAGGCACCTGCCACCACGCCTGGCTAATTTTCATATTTTTAGTACGGACAGGGTGGGTTTCACCATGTTGGCTAGGCTAGTCTTGAGCTCCTGACTTCAGGTGATCCGCCCGCCTCGGCCTCCCAGAGTGTTGGGATTACAGGTGTGAGTCACCATGCCCGGCCGGAAATGAACATTTGATGAGTGAGTGAGCAAGCGTACCAGCTGAGGATACCAGTGATAAGAACATCCACATATGTTGGGTGTTCTATGATGTGCTGGGAAGTCCTAAGCCCTTGACTTGACCATTCTGTTATTTTGAAGCTTTAAAGAGATGTACTGAATGGAAGCCCATATAATAGAGCTGAATGGAGTACCTGGAAATTCAGATGGTACAACTTGATTGAGTAAATAAATAGGGAAAGCTACCTGATTAAAAGTGAGTCCCCTCATCATGTGTGAATTGTCAAACTGTGAAGATTATTCTTGTTTTCCATCATAGTTATGTTGATTTTTCAGGTGAAGCACTTGAGGAAGAACTGGATTCCATGGCAAAACATGAATCCAGGGAAGATAAAATTTTTCAGAAGTTTAAAACTCAGATAGCCCTTGAACCAGAACAGGTAAAGTAAACACAAACTCCTCATTGTGTTCTCTTCAGGCCATGTTTTATGAGTATAACCTCTGAGAGGAATTAACTTTTCATAGTAACACTAGTCTGTTCCTTAGGAGCCTATAAAATCAGATTTTTGTTATCTTGTTAGAGGAGTTCCTCACACAGATGGCCATGTAGCAAGGTGTTTTGCAGTGCTGATCCATTTAATAGTTACTGAAAGACTAAAGGTTATACTGTTTATCATTCAGAGTTCATTTTCTAAAGAAAGCATCAGGGATGGGAGATGAATGAGATGTTGCCTATGGTACGTGAGGTTTAGGCACCATTGGCCCCCCAAAAAGGAAAAAAAATGTTATTTGCCCTTTTCCAACAGGTACCTGTGGCTTGTAAAACAAATATGACATGTTAACATTTTCTCCTTAACCTCCCTTACCATAAACATAAATCATGAAAGAACACTAAATTCCCATAAACCAGTCACTAGATCAAATAAATACCCAGGGCTTTATAGGAAGAGTAGATCTAGGTCCTAAACACTGAGGCAGTTTTTAGCAATCTATATGCTTTTAGACAAAATACAGAAAACCACTCAGGTGCCATAGGAAGCTTATTACAGTGAAGTTTACCTATGTTTGTAGTCTTTTTCAAAACACTGTATTTTACTTGGTATTTGTCCCTCCTCAAATTTTTAACTATGAAGGTAGCCACAGAAGGTAGGCAGAATTCCACAGTCAGAACCTGATAATGGAGAAGCAAAGGCTTATTCTTAGTCCCTTCACAATATATTCATAGTATTAATATTCCAACATGAGGTAATAAAAGCATCAACTAGGAAATACATTTTTATGCCCCCTGAGTCAGATAAGCTGAAATAATCACTTTGAGGTGATTGAGAAGGCATTAATGGCACACTGGCACAGCCAGGTCTGATGGGGGAACTATGACATGCCTTTTGGGTCAGTGTTACATCAAGAGTGGGAACATTCATGGAGTTTCTCTAAATGATCATCAGATAGCATGTTACCATTGGAAAGTTTTAGGTAAGGTATAATTATTTGAACATGATCCTCATTGATTTCAGATTCTCAGATATGGCAGAGGTATTGCCCCCATCTGGATTTCTGGTGAAAATATTCCTCAAGAAAAGGATATTCCAGATTGCCCCTGTGGTGCCAAGAGAATATTTGAATTCCAGGTATGACCTTAAATAAGGACCATTTTATTGTATAATCACCATGATTAATATTTTTAAACATTAAAAACTTTACCAAGTTAATTTGTGCACATGGGTCAACATGGCAGTACAGATGGTGCCCTATAATAAAAATCATCAGTTTCCTGCCTCACCTTGGGGCAGGAAGTTCCCTGGAAGGAATTCTTTGTTTTTTTGTTTCCTAGTTTTCAGACAGTATCTGTTCACTGACTTCTGTGAAGATAAGGATATCTAGAGTATCCTCCACTTCCAGTGTGGCTATGTCATTATTTTTAGTGCCTCTGTTAACTTTTATTTTAAATAATTTATACCTTCCTTTCTAGTTCCATTAAAGTCTTTTGACTCCATACTTTTAAGAGGGTGGTCTTCAATATTTAATCTTGGTTTGTGGATTTGTTCGAAGAACAAATGGATATAAGCATTAGAGATAAATGTCGTCCCCCCCCCCACACACACACACACGAATTTGTTGGCACCAAAATCCATTTGGGTAGGGTAGAAATGATCTTGAGCTATGGATTCACTAACCTTACCTAAGTCATAGCTAATACTGGGTTTGTTTCTTTGGGTAAAAAAGTAATTATGAGGACATCTAAAACTATGCTTGGTTCTTAGTGCCAAAGCTCTCAACGTCCAAAATGAGATGACAAGATTTGTATAGTGATTCTGTATCATAGTGTCATTACTAATCAGTGTTTCTTGAGTCAAGAGTAACAACATCTGCAATGATATAAAGTAAAAGTTGCCCAAATAGAAGCCTCAACCCTTTTGAATAGCATATTAGTAATGAAAATAATTCATTAACAGCCACTTGTGAACCTCGTCTCAAATGGAAGACATACTAAACAGAAGGTCAGATGAAGTAGAGTGGGGCTTTGAAGTCATAAGGTAGTTTTAGATTGTTAAACGTACTAATTGTATATTGTCTATAATCCTGTATGAGGATTGAAAGACCAGGATCCTTTTTATCATCCTGGCCAAGAAAGTCTCTTAAAAGTAGTGCTCCCTGCTGTGAAGCAGCATTCTAACTGTATGTCGCCCTCTTCTTAGGTCATGCCTCAGCTCCTAAACTACCTGAAGGCCGACAGACTGGGCAAGAGCATTGACTGGGGCATCCTGGCTGTCTTCACCTGTGCTGAGAGCTGCAGCTTGGGTATTGGCTATACAGAAGAATTTGTGTGGAGGCAGGATGTAACAAATACACCGTAAGGGCATCTTAAAGCCTTCAGATATGTTAATAATCTTTTACACCTTGCAATTCCATTTCTGGGACTTTATCCTAAGGAAATACTTATGCCAAAAATAGAGGTACAGAGATGTTGAGACATTGCTTACAGTGTCTATATATTAGTGAAACAAAAGTGTCCAGTGACAGAGAATTAAGTTTTGGTACATCCACAGTGGAAGGCTACAGAATCTTATTTATACACACACATATTGACAACCGAGATATCATTATAGGTAGTATTTATGGTATGACCCTATTGTAAAAATATTTGTACATGTATGTGTGCATAGAAATAAATCTGCAAAGATGTACACTTAGTGCACTGGTTACCTGTAAATGGTGGGATAACGAAAATGATCTTTTTGCTTATACAGGCATTTCTTTTTATGTGCCTAATGAAGTTAAACCATCTTACTCTGAGAGCATTTCCCACCCTAAGTTTTTTAAAACACAAAGAAAAATACTTAGGTAAAACCCCAACAAACTTATCTGATCATCAGCTGATTGTCACAGGCTCTAGTATGTACTTGAAGCCCGTAACATCAGAAAAATACCAAACCTTAGGTCGGTGAGTATGGTGAACAGGAAACCCAGTAATTCTGAAACAACAGTATCACAGTTGGTAGGATGAGGAACAACAGTGGCTTTGTAATCACAAAGCTGGAATTTAAAGAGGCTCTCTACCTTCACAACGGATCTTGGTCAGCCAGTGGCCTTGCTTACAGAGACACTGAAAGGAAAAGATGATGGTCTTCGCTTTCCATGTCAGCATTGTACAGTTTCCTATCGCGTATACAATGGTTATGGTATGTAAACCAGAGTAAGGATCTGGCCTAGGAGGCAGCAGCCTGAGGAAAGGATGGCCCTGAAATCAGTTTTCAAAGAGCTGACCCTTGGCCTATTATGTTTATGATACATTTATTTAAGCAAGTGGCCCCTAAGACTACACTAAGGTTCCTTCCATCCCCCAGCAGCTCACAATTGGTAATTCCCAGTTTCTCTCAGCACCAGCGATACCTGCCCTGAAGACACATTGCTGTCAGTGCTTGAATACTGATGGCTAATTCTGATAAATTTCTCAGGCTCATTTCCTTCACCTACATTGGCTCACATTGCCCCATAACACATGCCTGTTAATTCTGAAATGCATTGCCACCATAAATCCTCACATTTTCATAGGTAACATCACTTGCTAATGTCATTGTCTACTTGGCTATTTTATTTGTAATTTAGAAAGTCCTGTCCTATTAGTCCATATTATATATGTTTAAGTGTATATATGCAGTTTGTATTAATTTTGTGTATATGTGTGTGTATGTATATATAAGATACAGTTACACATAGCACCATATGAGAAACTGCAGTATGGAGTTTCTCCCATAGGGAGGTTTGATACTAGGCTACTTAAGAACTAGAGAATACTAGTTTTGAAACTGGGGTGGCTAAATCAATGAGAATCACCTATAACTGTGGTGTCAGTCTGTAGTTATTGGAGTAAGTTGTCATCAGCAACTTGTGACAAGAGTTGGTCACAGCACTTAGTAGGAAGCACAGTGGTATAAGGAAACCGGGACTAGTGGGGCCTTCATATCTAAAATTATGTCTTATTCATTATAGGTGGAATGTGTAAGTTATGACTGCTGAGGGCTTTCAAAGCAAACATGTTAGAGTCTTCTGTGGTAAAACTGTTATTTGGGGAGATCACCAGATGACAGGTACCCAGCCAGGCTGTCATTGATGTATATTCCGGTCAACTTCTGGAAATGATCGTAAAAGTTTACAGGGCCTTTCCAGGAACAGGTATATCAAGAGGGAGACAGACTGGTCCAAATCAACATAAAATGTCACAGCACCAGTTTGGCATCTGTGTTAAAAAACAGCAACTATATTAAAAATAAACTGTACAACATAAAAAATTTTTTAAATGCATTAAGCAAGTTGCCTCTAGAAATGTGAAGACATTTTAAAACACTACAAGATAATGACCAAGTCTCACCTACATAATCATGGCTCCACAGATGGTGCCAGTCCATACATCCACCATTTCTCAACACCTATGAAGTTTTAAGATCTGCTTGGTTCAAATACTGTCCAGCCACAGCAGCACTCCTCTGCTGTAGACAGCAGCATATTCAGCTTTGCCTTATTTCAGATATCACACACAAAAAAAGTTAAGAGTTTTTGGCAATCATATTGATGATAGTATTTTTGTTACTCTTAAGAATGCTATGGTGGAGGTGGGGCGATGGCGTGAGCCTAGGAGTTCAAGGCCAGCCTGGGCAACAGTTTAGCGACCTTGTTTCTACAAAAAGTAAAAAAAAAAAAAATTAGCTGGATGTGTTGGTGTACATGGGGGGCTGAGGTGGATCACTTGAGCCCAGGAGTTAATGAGACTGCAGCAAGCCATGATTGTGCCACTGCACTGCAGTCCGGGCAACAGAGCAAGACTGTATCTCAAAAAATATTGCACAAATAACAGATAAAGTAACGATAAATACATAGATAAATGAGTAATTATGAGATATTCTAATTCATCATCCCCTATGTCTTTAAGACTTAAGGATTCTCAGTGTAGAAGAAAGAGTGTATATATAATATAGAATTGGTTAAGTAAAAGCCCTATAAGTTTTGAATGTGAATTGGACATATTAATATGAACTCATATTTTATCTTGCAAACTTAAAAAGTGAAAGAAGCAAGTATTTATCCTGCTATGTGGAGTACAACACTTTATAAAAGTATTCTAGTTACTAAATGAAAAACAAATGAAATGACTGACATGTCATTTTGCAACCCATTAATGAATTAATAGATCTAAGAATTATGCAGCAGATGCCAATTTGCAGGAAATACAGAGAACAAACCACATCATGAATTTCCAACTAGCAAACCCCAGACTATGAGAAGATCTACATACTAAATGGCCTATAAATTGGAAAGAAAAGAAATGGACAAAGAACTTCAATTATCTTTAAATGCGTAAGAGTCAGGATAATAGCTCCTACTTGAGGGAAGCCAGGAGTGTGTGGCTGGATAGGACAGGCAGCAAAATTCTGTTTCTTGACCTGGGTGGTAGCTGCAAGGGTGTCTGCCTTTAAATAATACACTATGCTATACATTTGTTAGGTTTCCCGTATATGTATCTACAACTGTAAGAGATTTTTTTTTAAGTTATGCACATTAAAGTCCTAGCCACTGATAGGAAAAATATTGGAAAGGAAAACATAAAATTATGATTACATGCCTAGAACTTTCAATGCAATCAACTAAATCATGTAATCCCAGCACTTTGGGAGGCCGAGGTGGGTGGATCATGAGGTTAAGAGATGGAGACCATTCTGGCCAACATGGTGAAACCCCGTCTCTATTAAAAATACAAAAATTAGCTGGGCGTGGTGGCATGCGCCTGTAGTCCCAGCTACTCGGGAAGCGGAGGCAGGAGAATTGCTTGAACCCAGGAGGCGGAGGCTACAGAGAGCTGAGATTGCGCCACTGCACTCCAGCCTGGCACCTGGCAATGGAGCAAGACTGTCTCAAAAAAACAATACAAAACAAAAAAAAACTAAATCAGCAGTAATAGGAGTACAATAAACTTGGAATAAGAAAAATATATCAACAACAATAAATTTTGAAGTGTTATGAAAAACTTCCATTAATAAAACAAACAATAATATTATACTTGGGAATTAAGGAATTAACACGAAATATAAAAGCCCTGTGTGAAAAAAATTATAAAACTTTACTGAGGAACATAAGACCTAGAACATAAGACCTACAGACATTGAAGAGTTACTTCTTCCTTGAATAGGAAATAATATTGAAATGATGTCTTTCCAATTAATCCGTACATTATTGGCATCACTAATGATTGGGAAATGCAAGACAAGGGCACTTCATACACCATTCTCTTTGGACTACAATCTGGTATCAATCGATTAAAACTTAGAATGTATAATCTTTAGTTCCTCTTCTAGGAAAGTTTACTTCATGAATACCGGTACTTATCCAAAAAGCACACATACAAGGATGTTCCCTGCAGCGCTGTTTGTGATACTGAAAAATTGGAGATCTTGTAAATGACCATAATTAAAGGAAGAGCTCAGTAAGTGCAGGTACCTAGGAAGAGTATCCTAGATTCCCAGTCATGGAAATAGGTTTATGATACATTGATGGAAAAAAGGGAAAGCTGTAAAATTGAATGGATTCCTTTATCATTTTTTTCCAAAAATGGGATCAAATGCCATGCCCAGAAAACAAAATTTGCACAGAACAGGGCTTAGAAGATACCCACTAATCTGGTCGTTATCCTGGGGAAACAGGCAGAAGAGAAAGGAAGGAAGGACTTCCCCTTTCTGATTTTATTCCTGAGTTGTGTGAAGACGGACTTTTACAATTAAAAAGAAAAAAACATACCACCTATTGTTAGGTTTTAACAATAAAACCTAAGAACCCCCAAATGTCCACCTGATATTCCATGAGGAAAAAAACCCACAAAACAAGCAAAAAAAAGTTACTGCAAAGAGATCGCAGCCTGTGGATAGGGCACCAGCTTCCACACCTGAAGGACTCACTCAGAGCCCATTTTTTACTGCTTACTAGCTGTGTAACTTCAGCCAGGTCCCTCAGCTGGGGCCTATATCTCCTCACCTCTAATAAAGGAACAAAACTACAGCTTTGTGAGGATTCCAGGCACTGTATGCAAAGTACCTAGAAAACAACAGTTGCTCAAAATATGGAAGGTAGTAAATACACGTTTCCTGAGCAACTGTGAGTTCTTAAATCATTAATGTGTTTTCACTGCAGCATACAATGAATTATTGACTGAAACAAACACCAAAATGGTTTCAGATGTTATATCTAAAATACAACTTTTTAGAAAAAGGTATGATCACATGACTCTTACAAGGTATCATAACAGCAATCTAACACTTTTATAAACTGCATTTATTGTACAGAGTACTCTGAAGAAAGAAAAAATATGTACAGCCATTCATTTTCATTAACACATGTATTCTGTCCTGCAATACTGGAGAGGCGGAATGTGTCTGGCACAGAAATAACCCCTAGGAGTTATAAACTAGAAAAACAACACTTTTTAAAAAGATTTTTACTTTTCTGGTAGAAATATAAAAATTGCGGTTCATGGGGGAAAACATTAAAATTAAAAAGTCCAATCAATTGTAGAGGTGGCTTTAACACTTAAAAGTTTTGTCCCTCAAACCAACTGTCAACAGCAGTGTTTAAAATCTATGTATAAATAAATGGGCAGCGCTGCCCAAATAGCAGCACAGTATGAGCGACTCACAGTCATGCTGCGCGGTGTTCTCAGTGCACAAATAATGCCCCTTCCCGGCATCCCGTGGTGGGCACTTACAGAAGGGCATCACC